CTAAGCCCTAAGCCCTAAGCCCTAAGCCCTAAGCCCTAAGCCCTAAAGCAAGCCCTAAAGCCCTAAGCCCTAAGCCCTAAGATATTAAGTGTGTGGCCATGGAGCCCAATCGCACTCTCATTGCGGAGAGCCTCGCGGAACCGATAAGATGACCAGACCCGGCCGGTGCTGGGGTCTGGGGCCCAGATATATGCTTCTGCCGTACGAGCCGGAGTTTATTCTGGGGTCAAAACCTGTAACCGCTTAAGAAAGGGAAGGACTAGCCAGAGATATCGTACGAGTAACTCGCCGACCTCACGTGGAAGATAGCGATGGATCAGCTTTATATCGTTCCGTGTGTAAAAGCCTTTGTGGTAGCTGGTCGCAATCACAATAAGCCGATCCTCGATAAAGATATTCCGGTGAGCAGTCTCTGTATTACGATGTCATACGGAGAGAAGCTTAGGGGCCCGGCTAGGCTGTCCACCAGTGATATGGACCGCGACACTCAGCTTTTCTCGGAAACGGACAACCGCTCGAAGATAGCTCCGGATTACAGTCGTACGAAACTGGCCCTTTTAGGAGTCGAGGAAGAGTCGCTGGAGGTTGGCCTCTCTGGATATACGTGTCATCATCCACTCAGCCCCGTTAACCGGTAGCTTCGTACGAGGGTCATCGAGAAAGCACCAGCCCGGCTGGCCTTATGCGGGATCGTCCATCAAATCATCCCATGGGATAGGGGGAAGGGCCTCGGCCCCGCAGACCAGTAGCTCCTCGTATAGGATCTGTTGGAGGGCGTGGGTCAGGCCATGGATAAACGCACGAAAGTCCCGCATGGTGAAGTGGAGATCCTTATAGAGAATCCGGTCCTCGCCAGTCCAGGTAATAAACCCAGGCTGACTACTATTAAAGTGGACCTTAAGGCCGTACGAACGGAGATCGAGTAGCCATTAGATCGGTGTCTGCGAGCCTCGTACCATAAACCGTGTGACCATCAGATGGAGCCATTGGGTGAACCGCCGTGGCCGCTGGTGCTGTTCCTGGGTGAACTGGAGAGGCGCCGCCTGGTCCTGCTCGACTTCTGAGTCGCTCTCCCCGTATAGCGAGGGGGTCTGTGGGCTTATCGTACGAGAAAGATTATCGTACCCAGAGAGGAGATAGCCAGGCTCATCAAACGGGGTCTCGGCAGATAGAACCAGCTTACTAGAATGGCCCCGGAAGGAGGCAATCAGCTCGTCCACGTACGGATTAAGTCGGACCGCCTTGTGGAGGACGATAAAGCGGGCAATCTTAAGGATCTTTAACAGGATCGGGGGGTAACTGTCGGTATCCATCCAGCCGTACGAAGTGCGGCCGAGGACAGCTAAGGCACAGACAAAGGCGCTCTCATACTCCGATACGCCGATCCGTTGGTTGAGGAGTTTAATACAAAAGTCCATACAGGCGATCTGGATCGGGCTTACAGAGAAGGCGTCGTACGACTGCGAGTCGGGATGGGATGGGGAACCCTGGCTCCGAGCGGTCGTAGATGATTCGCCTGGTGGTACCTCCGCCTGGGCCTAGGCCAGTCGCCAGAGCTCTCGCCACGTACGAGACTAACGGGGTGTAAACTGGTACTAAGGGCTTTGCCAGTCATGCGGCTGCTGCGTACGAGTAAAGAAAACCAGGATCCGCTGCCAGGGCTCGACATGGCGCTGGATATTCGCCTCGTCCATGTAGGCTAGGAGGGGAGTAAAGGGGCTCTCGTGCTGCTCCGTACGAGCGGCTTCGGTCCGGGCAAAGTGACCGCACTGCTTGGTGATACGCTGGCTTATAGCCGCGACAGAGCCCATCACGTCCTAAATCACTCGTACGATAGCCTCGTTCTCTGCCCCCTCGGGCGCCGGAGTCTCGAGCGACTGAAGGAGGGGCAGTACTAGAATGCCCCGGAGATACGTGGGCCACTGCGTACGGCGAAGCCATGGGTTAGCGTCATCGACCTGGCCCGCCTCGACGGTATGCTCGACCGTCGAGAGGGCCTCGGTATAGCGCTGCTCGACCTATCGTATAATCTCCTCGGCCTGGCTGGATGGGATCGGTGGCGCTTGCGGTAAATGGGTGATCCTAGGCTGCTGCACCTAAAAGTATGATGAGCCTGCCCCTCGTACGAAGAACCGCTGACAGGTCACTTACTGCCAGGATCGATCAAGGAGATCTCTAGCTCTCTGCTGGTGCTGAGCTCGAGGGTGCCCAGGCTTCGTACGGACAGAGAATCTATGCGTTATCCGCCAGTGCTCCTTCATCGCTTTCAGGCTACGACAGACATACTGACAGTCGGCAGCCACAGTACATAGCATGCCGTCGGTATAGATAGATAGAGCTTAGATTGGGTCCTGGACACTTAGAGGGTACTGTAGAGTGGTTAGATCGGACGAGATACCTTCCCATATTCCTATGGTCGCCGCAGCCTCCTGGGCGTGGCGTAGAGAAACCCGATGAGGATCGTGGGTAAGATGGTAGGTGATCTGCTTTAGTCGTACGGCTACCTGACAGGACTGACAAACCACTAGAGGAAATCGGGGTACGAGTGAGATAAATTGTGGACTTATGGGGCTGGTCTCTGCCATCGCAATAGTGATAGCCAAGGATAGGCTCTAAAGGCTGTCCCTTATATAAAATCGTACGAAAGATAAAATCCACTTCTGAGTAGGGTATTTATAAGTCTAAAGCTATAGCCTTTTTTTTTAGCGCTAGAAAGGGGGGAATAGCCAAGAAGTTCACGTGGAGGACCCATAATAAAATATATATCTCCTATAGGATTAAACTCAAAAGGATTGTACGGAGTATATATGGAATCGGTGAATAATCAAATTAAAGGATAAATCTCGATATTGATAACTTGGTATATCGGGACCCAGGGTGTGGAGGATTAGACAACGTGTACCTAAATTTGTATTCGTACGATACCTTGACTCTATAACTCTTAAATCCTAAGCCCAAAACTTCCTACTTTGACTACCTAGTGTATTGTCCCTATCCCCTCACCCAAGCTGCCAGTACCACTAATATACCTGTCGTACGATCCCGATCTATACTGCTGTAGCAGTACCACCAGCACCGTTATCGTCATTGGCTTCGTCCGAGTCGGTCAGCTCCTTAACCCGGCTTAGGGGTGGTAGAGGAGCAGACGCCTGCGGGATGTATCGCGGCTCGTTGGAGTTTCGTACATTGCACTGCGCTGTCTGTTCCTTCCACTTACAATTGGCACAGCATCCCTCCTAGGTACCAGGCAATCGTACGACAGATTTACTAAATGGGTGGCCTTGGCGAGACCGATGGTATATGCCTGGGAAACGAACTCCACGAGAAGCGATTAAGAGTCCATTGACGTACGACGGCCGTGCACTGCGGATCTGTCCAGATTGAGAATTAGTGGCTGGTATTAACCTAAAGAATATTAACGTACTTAATCAGCCGAGATGACTGGAGTTCGGTCCTTCTTCATCTTCACGAGGAACTCGTACGACGGCCACGACCAGACCTCGCGCTGCTCTGGGGTACGGCAGAGCTCTCGGAGCGCCGCATTCCCATGAGCAGTCAGTCGGACAATATAGTACTCGGCACCCCCTTCTGCTGTAGTCGCCCTTCGTATAAGGCTGAAGAGAGTCGAAGCGGTAGGAGTAACCTGGGAAGGGTCACTTGGCGTACGAACAAGTGATCCGGGAGGGGGAGGAGGTCCTCCAGGAGGACCAGCACTAGCTGCGGAAGCCATAATGAGATAAATAAGAATGTATAAGAAAGGCTGGATTTGCTTAAAAGTTATTTCTAGCCAGAGTAGCTGGGCAAAGGTCGAGTTTAAATGTAGTATGGTGAATATAAGCCTAAACCTAGAAAAATGCAAAACCCCTCGCTGACCAGAATAAAAAGCCCATATCAGATAAAGAGCCCTCGTACGAAGTTCCAGGTTCAAAACAAAGACTGGAGAACATGAGAACGAAGCCACAGAAAATACAAAACTCTCCACTAACCAGAATAGAAATCCCACATCATTAGATAAAGAGCCTTCGTACGTAGGCTTGACTGTAAAATAAAGACTGGAGAATATGAGAATATCACCGCAGAAAATACAAAACTCTCCACTGACCAGAATAGAAATCCCACATTCGTATAAAGTCCTAGGTGTAAAACAAAGACTGGAGAACCTGAGAATGAAGCCATGGAAAAATGCAAAACTCCTCCCAGGGCAGAAGAGAAATCTACACCGTTTAATAAACAGTAGTCGTACGAAGTCCCAGGTTCTAAATAAAGTGTAAAGATCATAAGAAATAACTTGTATTTATTGTAACTTACTTAGTTTCACCATAAAGGCTACTTATCCTGAACACCACGTAAAGGTGTAAGTTTATTCAGGTGTCGTACATAGGCCCCGTACGACTGGGTAGGGCATAGGGGAATAAAAAGAAAAGGTATGCTTACTCAGTCAATGATGATGACGTCGTCGTTATCATCTAGGTCGACGGGATTGGCGGCTGTCCTAATGGCTAACTGAGACTGTGGAAGGGGGCTCCGAGCTGGGAGAGCGGCCGCTCTTCGTGTCCTATTCCGGTTACCAGTGCCGTCTCGTACGGAGCAGCGGAATCCATGATCCTGGAACTTATAGTTACCGCATGCTCCGTCGAAATGCCCCGGTGCACGGGAGCAGATCGGGAATGGGGATGGGCTCCCTGTACGACGGCGCTTATCAGCACACTCATCGCACTCGGTAATAAGCTCCCATCCACGAGATTATATCAGCAAAGCATTCACGTACGACGGGCGCATACTCGTAAGCTGGGCGCCCCGAATACGGCTAACCATAAACGGGACGTCAGGGCCGGTTAAGGCAAGTAAGGCGCGGCCTTCGTCGCTGTGTACGAAACGGGCAAAAAGAGGGCTTCCCACTGGAAATGGAGTCTGTGAAACACCACCTCGAGGACCAGCATACCGTACGAGAGAGTTATTCCCTCCAGTACCTGGGGAGGTCACAGGCCATCTAAATTCAGCTCCAGTCTAGATATACCCCTCATAAAACTCAATCAGCCATTATAGGGCAGTAGGCCACCCACTAACCGGGTCAATATTACCATTAACTAACCCCCATAACCTGGCAAACGCAGCCTAAGCTTCGTGTGTGTGAGCTCGTGCCCGAGCATGAGGACTAAGGGGGAGGTTAGGATAGGGGGGGCGGGAGCCAGCAGGGCGAGGCCTAGATCGTACGAAGTGAAGCATTAGTGAATATTCTGATTTAAATAAAGGTCTCACCAGAAGCAGGAAGTAGGATATTGATGCAGGATGATATAGGATATAGCTGCAGGATGAATGGGTTTCGTACAGAGAAGGCATCTTGATGAAAATCAAAATAAAAGTGAAATTTAAGAGGAAGAGAGAGAGAGAGAGAAAGAGAGAAGTGGGAGGAAAACTGAGAATTAAATATCTGCTAGACAATAATAGAGGTGATTACTGAATTGGGTAATATTGTTACCTTATACAGCTATGAAAATAAATATTACTGCCTAAGGCTATTGTACGAGATATCAATAATATAATAAGGCATGAACAATGGGACAGGGCATCAACAATGGGATAAGCCATGAATATGCCATGGACCCAACAATTGTGACAGTCCTGCCTGGAGCTTAAATCGTACGAGATATCATCAATGGACGATACATGAATAATGGGACAAGCCTTCATTAACGGGACAAGCCTTCATCAATGGGATAAGCCTTCATTAATGGGATAAGCCATAAATATGCCATGGACCTAATAATTATGACAGTCCTGCCTAGAGCTTAAATCGTACGAGATATCATCAATGGACGATACATGAATAATGGGATAAGCCTTTATCAACGGGATAAGCCTTCCTCAATGGGACAAGCCTTCATCAATGGGACAAGGCATTAATAATGGGATAAGCCATGAATATGCCATGGACCCAATAATTGTGATAGTCCTGCCTAGAGCTTAAATCGTACGAGACATCACTAATGGATGATACATGAATAATGGGACAAGGCATGAATATCCCATGGACCAAATAATCTTGACAGTCCTACCTGGAGCTTAAATTATACGAAAAAATCAATAATAGGATAACATGTAAATATACTATGGATTAGAATATGAATCTATAAGTAATCCTAACTTAAAATAGATATTTTAAAATAAAGTTAAAGAGTGCTGGCCCTTCGTACGGTCGCACCCCATCAAAAATAATTCCGATTTTCAATCAGCCACTACACCTTTAGAACTTGATCAATTACTCTAAAATTTAGTGACCATAATCTTTATAGTATAGAATAGAACTTTACAAATTTTGAGCTTCATCCTGGTACGAGATGCTTTTCCAGTCTACTCACGAAAAGTATTCCAGTCTACTCATGGCCCCACTTTTATCCACCATAGTGAAGGTAAAGTCCTAATTCCAGTCTACTAGACTGCAACCACCCCCATGGGATAGAACTTTACAAATTTTGAGCTTCATCCTTGTACGAGAAGCTTTTCCAGTCTACTCACGAAAAGTATTCCAGTCTACTCATGGCCCCACTTTTATCCACCATAGTGAAGGTAAAGTCCTAATTCCAGTCTACTAGACTGCAACCACCCCCATGGGATAGAGTTAGTGCCGTTAAGTCTCAGGAAAATAGTGATAATGATCTCCCGCTTCCTAAGATGCTAACTAAAAAATGCACGCAGGGTCGATCGGGGAGGATTCGAAAGAAACCAAAGCAGCCAGATGGATTTGAATTTAATAACCTATAATATATAAACTTGAATAATTGAAATTTCTTTTTTCCAGTAAAAAGTGACAAATTATATTAACTAACAGAAAGGTCGTAGTTCAGTTATTCGCGCCAGCAAATACAGAATCAATTACACATTGAATACTCTAAAAATACTAGGAAAAATGCATAAATTATGCCAAGTCGTTCGGGTTAGAAGTCTTGGACTGTTTGTAATATTTGTTATCGGATGGATATCGGACGATTATCCAACAGCTTAAGTTGAATATCGTAATCGTATCGGACGGAAAATCTAAATATCGATGTCGGATCGATGTCGGCTGCGATACGATACGATATGATATCATCGTACGATCCGTCCGATGCTGCCGCAGCCTAACTGTATCATTCTTAAACACATATCCATATTCAGTCATCCACCTTCCCACATGCTCTGACACCAGCAGTTCTATTAAAGTGGCCAGGCGATTTTATTCTCCAGGGTCATCGAATGGTCGGTGAAGGGGGGCCGCCAATCCAGCCCCGCATTTCTCGCACGTGGCCGCCGTCGAGACATTGTTGAAACCGCACTTTGAACAGCTCATCTGATTAGTGGGCGTGGAAATGAAAGAACGAAGGGTTTCAGTTGACAAGATGTATTGTTTATCTAATAATGTTGACTGGTGAGCTCGGTTAATGTAAGTGTAATCTCTGTAATGCACCTACCCAAAGACAAAAGTGGGAGAACTTGCAGGAAAAGCAAGTTGTGAAAGGATGCGACAATATGAGTTCGACGGTTGAGTGAGCGAAGGTGAGGGATAGAGAGGTGGGGCACGTTGACGAGGTCAAAGGGTGTTTTTAGGCTGACATATGTTGGCCCCAAACGGTTAGGCAGATGACTGAGCTTACAGACATACCTTCCACACTGCCATTTCAGAACCTAGTTTCCTAATAATCAAATCTTTCTTTGATTAACCCAGTGTTCCACCCTCGTGACTACGATTTTGCTTCTCTGGTTCGCTTGTGGGACTTCGGGAAGTCTTCCTCGGCCGTGAACGTTTGGCACGCCACAATCCGTAGTGGTGCGATCCTCAAGTCTTTGCGAAACTACGTCAACAACCAGTGTCGATATTCGTCCTTCAGAGAAGACATATTTTCCTCTTTGTCTTTTAGCAGCGAGAGTAATTCGCCAGCAGCAGAAACTTCTAGTCTCGCCCGTTCCATGATGACGGACCCTCTAAGTGTTGCGGCTAGCGTTACTGCTCTTCTTGGCTTGACTACTTCATTGGTGAAATACATCAATGGTACAGTAAATGCATCGGAAGATAAAAAGAAGTTATCAGCTGAGATACGCGATACCACCGTTGTCCTTGCGACGCTGCGAGAGCTAGTTCAGCCTCATGCCCAAGAAGATCTGCTTCCCGCGGCTGGGACCCTTAATGCCCTCGCCAGAATTATGGCTGGCCTTGAAAAGACGCTAGTTCCTCTGAAGGCAAGGTTAAACAGTGATGGAAGGTTGAAACTCCAAGGGATTCTAGCTTGGCCCTTTCACGAAAAGGAAGTGCGCGAGACCCTTGCGGCAGTCGAACGACACAAGATGTCGCTTAGCCTCACCTTACAAGATATTCAATTGTGCGCCCATGAATCCCTTCCCGCGATGAGACTCTAATGTTGATTATACAGAAGGACGTCTCGAGCAATCACAGAGAGAATCAAGAGTTTGCAGATCGGTATTGGTCAATTAGCTATCGCAAAAACCGGTCGGTCAAGACTAATATACAGTTCTCTAACAGGGGGTTAGTTCTAACATACGCAGAATTACAATTCGATGAAGCCTTAGAGTTACTTTCCGCACCTGACTCGTCGATTAATCATAGAACGGCATATGAACTATATGAGCCGACTACCTGCTCGTGGCTCGTGAACTCGGAACGCTTTAACCGCTGGCTCAACTCTCCTTCTGTTCTCTTACTATCTGGAATGCCCGGATGCGGTAAAACTGTCCTCTGTTCTGCAGTAATCGAACGCGTAAGGTCCCACGTGATCGGAAAACCGGCCGTTGGGCTTGTGTATTTTTATTTTGATTTTCAGGAGGAGCAAAAACAAAGCGTGGAAGGACTTCTGCTTTCGGTCATCGTTCAATTGGTGTATCAACAAGAGAAGCTCCCTGTTCAGTTCAGATCGCTTTGTGACGATTTCAAAGAGCGCCGGGGCAAGTTGCGTGGAGAGAAATTGTTGAAAGCTCTTCATGCAACTATCGAACAATTTCACCGAGTGTATCTAATCCTGGATGCATTAGACGAATGTGGCGAACGGCAAGGGGTTATGAGCTTGATTGCTAATCTCGTTCGCTCTCATGCAGGATTTAGTATACTGGCCACAAGTCGTGACACTACGGAGATCAGTCGTTCCGCTCTAGGACAGGTTTCAACGAATGTGATCTACATGTCACTCGACAATGTGAATATGGACATTCGGACCTATGTGGTCAACTCTTTATCGAGGGATCCTAAGTTGCGAGAGCGACCGAGTCATGTCAAAGCAGAGATAGAGGCCGCATTGACTTCAGGTTCTCATGGAATGTGAGTTTGATTTATCTCTCCTGCTAGGATATCTCTCATAGCGTTAGGTTTCGTTGGGTGGAATGCCAACTGCAGTGTCTGAGATCCTGTCTTACTCTCACAAGTGTTAGAGAAACTTTGAGATCGATGCCAAAAACGTTGGCGAAGACTTACGATATGATATTGGCGAGAATAGATACGTATTACCAGAAACAAGCGTACGAGGTGCTTCAGTGGTTAGCCTTTGCTGTGCGACCTCTCCGATTGGCTGAAATTGCAGAGACACTGATTATCAAGCCTGGCGTCATAGCTCTGTCTGAGGACGACAGGCTGTTTTCTGAATTTGACATCCTCACTATTGGCTCGAGCCTTATACGGATATCTAACGGTGATGAAGTGCGGCTTGCACACTACTCTGTTAAAGAGTATTTGATGTCTAGTCGGCTCAAATCAACGGCTTTGTCCTCCTTCCATATTACGGAGCAACCGGCAAATCAATACCTGGCTCATGCATGTGTCACTTATCTACTCCTATTGAATCGGCCTGAACGTCTTTCGCTGGAATCATTTACGAAGCTCCCACTTCTCAACTACGCTGCGATGCATTGGCGAGACCACGTAAATATTGCTTTCCGGGCAGGCTACCGGGAAGAATCATCTAAAAGTTTTCTTTGTGACATCTTGCGGCTCATGGACCAGAGTCAAGGCTCGGCTTATCTTAACTGGCTCCGCGTTTCCGATCCGGATGACTGGTATCTGCGCGACCTATCAAAAAGAGAGCAAGATGTCCCTAAGAGCCTCTACTACGCGTCTCTCCTTGGTCTATACATTGTCACAGAAGCACTCATAGACCGAGGAGTTGACGTCAATGCACGAGGTGGACTCTTTGGCAACGCGCTCCAGGCAGCTGCGTTCCAAAATCACCACCAAATTGTCCGTTTACTCTTACAGAATGGCGCTGAGATTAAGCTCAATGAGGGCCTTCATTATTCGGCCCTGAATGCAGCCGCCGTGAACGGAGGTGAAGCTAGCTTCCGTATTCTCTTGGATACATGCTTCGCAGGAAGATGCAATGACTCTAAGCTTGTTGGCAGTAGCCTGGTCGCGGCCGCCGCCTCGGGGAACGTGGAAATTGTGACGTTACTTTTAGACCATGGCGCAGACGTTAACTTCCGAGGAAATGATTCAGTGGCCCTTAACAGTATCCTTGCTGGCAGTCCAATCGCTGCCGCCTCATTTCAAGGCCACAAGGGTGTTGTACAGCTATTGATAGCTTGGGGGGCAGATGTCAATGCGAAGGGGGGCCGCTACGGCAATCCATTGCAAACTGCATCACGGGCAGGTTTTGATTGCATTGTGGAGCTTTTGTTAGATTATGGGGCTGATGTGAACGCCCAAGGGGGCGTTTATAAAACAGCGCTCCAAGCTGCCTCGGCCGGCGGCCATCAAAGCACCGTCAGACTGCTCCTGGAGAGAGACGCGAATGACACGCGCTAAAATAGATATTAGTCACCACAGGAAACAAGTTCATTATATATCCGTATCAAGAGAAGGACTGTTTAGCACTCTCTCTGTTTTCTTTCAGAGAAACTCCTCTAAGCTGATTGCAGTATCTTAAACAGGTGTGGTACCCGTGCTATACATCCTCAACGGTTAGACCCGCATGCCGGAAGTGTCCCTCCGCGCTTTACGCCCTTGCACCAACTGTGTTAACACACCACTCGAGGAAGACGTCGAATCCCTGGTCCGGGCCATTTTCGTAGGTCTGCCAATTCCGGCGAATTAAAGCTTTCAGCTCAGCAAAGAACTCCTCGATCGGATTTAAGTCTGGAGAATATGGAGGCAAATACACTAGCTTCACACCTGCCTCTGAACACATCTACTCAATCCGTTCGGAGTGATGAAAAGATGCGTTATCCATTACTATTACGGATTTAGGCTCTGGCCACTTCCCGCAATGCTAGAGAAGCTGCCCAATAAAATCCTCGAAGACGGATGCATCAGTTGAGCCTCGGAACACTCGAGACAGAACAATACCATATTGGGCATATGCTGGAAGTATCTGATATCGCTAATCACGATGGAACTTAGACACTTGAACCGGTGTCGTACCGAGAGGAGAACAGCCGGTTCGTCTGAACCCTATCCGCTTATCACACCCAGATTCATCCACGTAGACCAGATGGTATGAGCAAAATTCCGAGATCAGATAACTGTAGTCATCACGCAAATCCAATTTCCGTTCCTTAGCTTTTTGTCGAGCGTTCTTCTTTGTCCACCCTATTCGATGCAGAGCGTCGCTGATCGTGGATTTAGGAATGGGTATGTTGAATTCGTCTAGGAAGAACAGTTCCATCTCGGAAAGTTACGAATCCGGTTTCTCAAGCAGATGGTCGCACAAGGCCTCTAACATGACCGGGGTGATGCTTCGCGGCCGTCCGGCTTTGATGGGAGGAGCTTTGATGGTACCGAAAAGCCGCAGATTTTACCGGATCCTGAGAATTGCGCGTTTGCTTCAGCCAGCAGCTTGAGCCATTTGGGAGGTGGTTAGTTCACCACTGCTGATCATGTCATGGATAAGCTCAAGGGTAGATTTAGCAAGATTCGGTGCCATGGTTCACTGCGCCACTATTATGGTAAGTTTGTTGAGAACGACGTGTGGTGGGAACGCTGGTCGTGGGGCATCGAGGTAGCCGCTGTCTTGGTACGACAGGCATTAAACAAAGATTCACCTGATACAATAATCCGGTATTCTACGATACAAAGCCTAGAACCCAGGGGTATTTCAGGACTACGCCAAAAATAGGTCAGCTCTTCTTGGCATCAGGGTTCGAGAAACAATGAAAGAGTGTGGGTGATGACACCGATTTCCGGAAGTACTGTAACACAGACGTAGCCTTCAGAGTAGAGAAACGAGTCATAAGTTAATTTCATGCTTAGCCAGGAATACTACTAAGGTAGGATTTACTGTATAATCTATTGAGATGCAACCTAAGATACGAACGAAAAATATAGTTATATTTATATATACAATCATGATAGGATTTTATTCCGGTGACTCTAAATATGTAAAGGTTTACGATTTCCAGGTGTAAGGCCTGTCAACCGGGTAAGATACAATGACTTAGAGAGGAACGAGGATATATTGTCTGTGTGTGCCAAGACTAACTCTTGCCAAAAGAAGAGGGGATACAAGGGAATCCTGGACTATGTGTGTCCCCATGTTCACGTGGGAGCCATGTGACTATTCCTTGGCAGTTCGTTCCTGATACATGATCGATGCGGGTGCGATCAGGTGATTCCGTCTCCATGTTGTAAGGATATTTATCCGTTACAAGATCCTTTCTTGTTTCCCCTTCCTCTCTCTGTACTTAGTATCCTGGAATAAATGCACTCTTTTTCATGAAGAACTGGCAGGTCACAGTTCCCCCACATTGATTATTAGCCAATCAGAGCTCTTAAACATCTTCTACCTACCAGGTCGAAGGTTCGGAATAGAGTTAGGGTGAAGGATCTGTAGTCGTATCATGAGAAGCGACATAGGAAAACCCTATCACCAGACACACTACTAGCCTTGAACGGGACACGGTTCGTTCGGTGAAACGGAACCATTAGCCTCTACAGGATAAGTGTAACGGATAAATATCCTTACAACATGGAGACGGAATCACCTGATCGCACCCGCATCGATCACGTATCAGGAACGAACTGCCAAGGAGTAGTCACATGGCTCCCACGTGAACATGGGGACACACATAGTCCAGGATTCCCTTGTATCCCCTCTTCTTTTGGCAAGAGTTAGTCTTGGCACACACAGACAATATATCCTCGTTCCTCTCTAAGTCATTGTATCTTACCCGGTTGACAGGCCTTACACCTGGAAATCGTAAACCTTTACAGAAAGCCATCCTAACTGAAGACCCATAAGTTAGCGAGACCCTTCCACTAAGAGAGACCAAGGAATCCTTACTTATCGAAGAGTGTAGGGGCAGCAAAAGAACGAAGTGGACAACGCTTAAATGGAGTATGGGAGAAGGACTGTGGGGAGTGCCTGAGAGATGAGAAAGGAAGGAGGATTCTGAGCAGGGAAGATAGGGAGTTATATACAGAGCTTCTCCGTTTACGCTCAGGGTTTGCTCTCATGGTCGCTCGCTTTCTAGGCAACACTATAACAAGGCCTTTGTTCTCTAACAAGCGAACCACCGAGTTACAAACAGTCTCAATGATGAAAAAGTTAGATACTACCCGATTGGGAAACGGGTGCAGCTTCCGGCAGAAGACACCGAGGGCGGTGTCTTATGGCAAGTGGGGGAGGATGTCGTCCCGAGGGGTTTGCAGGGTTTGCAGCCCTTGGTAAGCCTCAGGCATCCCTTGCCAGGGAGTTGGAAGGGGACCAGCAGGGAACTTGCTGGTCCCATTAATTCAGGGGTTTCTATTGGTGGGGAAGCGAGAGCTTCCCGGGCTTATGTAATATATCGACTCATACAGCGTAGCTGGTATCATCCAATAGAAACCATGCGATCCTTTCAGAATCCCACTGGCCCGTTACAGCTGGTGCTTGTTGACAGCCTTGGCCATTTTCTCTCTCTCCAGAATAAGAGGCTTGGGCTTTTCCGTATGCACCGTGTCGTTGGTTAAACTCTCGGACTTTACATTTTCCTGCAGCGCCTGGCGGTAAGGAATAAATATTAATAAAACGCGGACTGGCTGTCTTTGTGCTCCTCTATTTCATTCACTTCAGGACCTTGATCACAAGACTCATTTATTGCCACTCCAAAGCTCTCCGGTAGGGCATCTTAATAGACCAAATTTCCGCAATGCCTCACTGGTTATGCGAATGGGAGAGTTGTAAGAAACCAGCCGCGCAGAGAGTAGGGGATTGCTTGCTGTGCGATAGACACTTCTGTCGCACGCACCGCCGAGAGCCGTGGCACAAATGCCCAAATCCAGAGGTCTGTGATGTACCTGCTCAAATATTAACCATAGTAGGAATGCTCATGCCTATCTAATAGACAAACTGGGAATCCTACTCGGCTCAATATGCAGCTACAGAGGCTCGTCACATAGACGAGCTATGCCTTCGAATAGATTGTTCTAAGTTATGTTTCCGTGCCTCGATACTCCGAGAAGGTATCTCGTGTACTGTTGACTTATCTCGCAAGACCTTGTCTGCTATGATGGGAAACCAGAACTGCCACGCCGAGATCACCTTCGATGATAATGTTAGGTGGCTCGCACGATTTCGCCTCGCAAGGACCTCATCACCGCCACGGGAAGTCTGTGATTGGATCCTTCGAAGCGAAGCTGCCACTATGACTTACCTTCAGCGGTACACTTGTATTCCCACGCCTGAAATCTTTGATTGGGCATGCGAATCCGATCCAGGAAACCCCCTTGGAGTTGACTATATTCTAATGGAAAAGCTGGACGGAAAGTCTCTAGATTGGCAGACGGCGACTCCCCAGCAGAAAGAGAAGGTCATGCAGCAGTTAGTTGATATTTCCCTCGAGATTGATAGGCATCCTTTCGAAGAAATGGGATCACTTATCTCATCGGCGGGAGATGTTAGCAAGCTTCAAGGTCTCGCACATCAATCGACGTTCCGGATAGGGAAGGGGCCGCTCGGTCCATTCTCTTCCTCGCTCCACGGCTCTCAGGTCATCCTTGAGTCGTACCTCGCAATGATAGCTAGCGGCGAGATTGACCCCTGCTATCCGGTTAACACCTACCTCTTCCATCGATTTCGCCAGGATATTGTTAGCGCTCTCTTTAAAGACGCTCCACTAGGCGAACAGTTCTTTCTTAAGCATCCGGACGATAAGGGTGACCATATTCTGGTTAATGACTGTTTTGATATTGTGGGTGTCATAGACTGGGAATGGACGCAAACCGTCTCTAAGGCGGAGGCATTCTGTTCCCCGTGTATGATGTGGCCGGTGGCTGAGTTCTATAATGGCTTTAATGAGTTAGCCGCGGATGAATTACGACTAGCTGCCATCTTTCGCGAAAAGGGCCGTGAAGATCTTGCCGTTTGTGTAGTCGAGGGCAGAAAGGCTCAGAGATTTTTCTTCGCTCTTGGGCTTGAGAGTTCTTTTCTAGATATGCAGACATTTCCACATATATTCGCAGGACTTCAGCGGGCCTTCAGGTCGGAAGACGAGGAGTGGGGCGCATGGAAGATCAAGGCTCTCAAGAAATGGAAAGATGATGACTTACTCCTTGGCTTGTTGGAACTAGAACAAAACGAGGAAGGAGGCAGGGCGAGGTGAGAAAGCTTTAAACAAAATAGATTCTGCAAATCCCATTTAGTATCGGAATAAAAGCTTCTTACGAATAGAAGTTGTAACGCGCAATTCGTTGGGCTAGTTCAGTGGCGTAAGAATAGGCGCCTGAAGCAATGAGATCGAGGATAAGGCAACCTTCACTGAGCATCTAGCAGCTTTACTGTCCTGGCTGTGATATTTGCGAGTCCCGATCTAATACATACTATCCAAGGGTACTTGACCGCAATATTACCAATAGAAAAAATCAGCAATAAGGATATTTCAAATCAGTGATATGTAAACCGCATGCCAGGCGGTGTATTTGTTCTCCGCCTTGGATGCAATCGTCTAAATACAAGATTCATTCCAATAGCGATTGTCTTGTCTTTCAGCTGCTTGCTTGTCTGCCTTTAGGCTAGATCAAGTACGGGGTTCAAACAGCTTGGTCTTCTGGCTATTACTTGCGAGATTGGGAACCCGAACCCGAGCCGGTTGACGTCGAGTCCCATGGTGGGCTTCTGCTGGGATCCAGTGGGCTTGTCTTTACTTGTGTCAGGAGGCAGTTGGACACTCGGGGGCCGAAGTTATGCTCACGGTTGCTACAGTAGCGGCTACCACTCAAAGCCCACTGGGCACATCCGGCCTGTGCGCATTTCTCCGCCATTTTGCTTGAAGAGTGGAAGTTGATAAGAAGTGTAGTTGGTAGAGCCCGTTGGAAGGAAGAGGTTGGAGAAGATGCAATAAAAAGGAGTAAAAGTGGCGGAAAAGACAGCCCTTATATACTTAACGCTGCGTGGTTATGTTGTATAATTCGCCTCTATACTAAATTGGGTATAGGGACTTCTTCTTAATTGCTCGGGCCCATTTTATCCACCCGTGCTCTGCGGTACAATCTAGCTCGCACCTCGGAACCAGTGACGTTTGCGACAGATGCATGGCACTTGGACATCAAGGGTCTCATCCCAGAGGAGACAAGGGACGTGCAGTTGTACGTTAAGGCTATTTCAAGACAAGATAGATAGATAAAAATGGAGAGATCATATTATCACAATGTTTGAAATACCGGGACCACAAGACCTATATCAGTATCGCACATATATTCATCTTCGCCATCGTGATTTTGCAGTCTGCAGGCCCGGTTTCCTGCATTTTCCAACAATTTCTCATTATCTTCAACACCGTCCCGCAATTACCAAATCTCGCAGAGTCACGCACCACGTTGGCCATTAGATTTTCGAACAGTAGCTGATTCGGTGGCTGTGCCATGCATCCCAATACACATAGTGCCCATACCAATCCAGTGAGAGAGTAATTCCTCGGTCTATTCTGAAGCGCAATGACGCTTCTAGAAACCGCGTTCTTAATCTCTGGTAGTGCGGGGAGGGGCCCGGAAACAATTGTGTGGAGCAGAACGAGGCAAGCAAGGGCGAAGAGACGTGTGACCCAGATAGTTTGTGCTTCGTCATTGTCTTGTTCCTGGACGTTCAAAGTTAATAATTTGCGAGACATGAGAGTGGTCAGTACTTACATCCCTGATTAGATCGAGCTTCTCAATGCCCATGGTTAAACGTTCTTTGATCTCTTCTCCTCTTCTGGCTAGTTCACTAATACTGAGCGTGACGTCCTTTTCTTGAACTTCCTTCCATTCCTCGAAACATGCTAGATCCCCGATGATGATCATAACCCAGTTTTCGCAGCTCAATAGATCTGGTATTTGTATTTCATATGTACGAAGCCATTGCTGATACGGAAGTCGTGGTACCCGTCCCGTCGGGAGACAGGCGAAAAGATCAAGTGAAACCATTGTAGCGAGAAGGAACTCAAGACCCTCCTTTGGACGATTGTGGGATAAAAAAGAAGATCCCTCATGAGATGTGCAGCGAGCGTCGAATATAGTCTCAGGCGATAGTGAATATATGACACATATGACAGCATCCAGATGCAATAGCCAGTCGTGTTCAGCGCCTCTAAAAACCTAGATTCTTCATTAGTTGAGTGATTTTTGAAAGATCGTCAGGCCCATACTTCACAACTAATCAAAATCAAACTACAGGCCAGGAACTCGGCCAACCGAGCATTATCATCCAGCAATTTTCCACGCTCCTCGCCCATGAATTTGCAGAACTCACGGAGTGCCCTGGAATGATGTTCTAGTGCCCTTTCCTTTTGTTGATATTCCTCTTCATTCCCAAGAATCGCACTCTGGTGAAGCGAAGAAAGGCTCAAGACAGCATGATAGAGAGGCCCTTGTTTCATGAGAAGATATAAAAGCCAGCCCCGATTTCCTAGTCGGGATGTAGAGCAGAAATAAGGGAATTGCCATGAAAATACCTGGTCAAGATAATGCATCAATAGACATGCAGCTTGGGGATCGAAAATGCCATCTTGGCTAGAAGTCTGATCTACACTTTCCATTGAAGCATTTGGCACAATATTCGAACCTCCCATATCAAAGGCAGTCAAGTTATTAACTTCTGAATTTGAAGGTAACATTTCCTTGACTGCCTGAGGCGGTGCTGTTCTCTTGGCGCGATTCTGCATTTTTCGAACTCGTCGGACATGTTGACTAATCGCCAACTTGATTCGCGCTCTTTCTTTCTTTTCTTCTAATGCTCCATCCATCCATGCTGGCTTCGGTCCATACCCATGACAATGGACGTTTCGATCACTGCATTCCCTGCAGAATGGTGTCGTTATGTCGCATTTTTTGTGCCGTACACGACAGGTCCAGCAGCCGATCGATATGGCACCCATGTGGGTTATTAGTGGTATCGCACAGCGTTCTCGTGTGGATTGGAAGAGATCTTAGAAATATCCCGGGTGATTGGCGCCCTTTCCGACTGTGGGCCTTATGTCAGCCGTGGTATACCAACGGAATCATTGTCTTTCACTTCCGCCCGTCCATTTTTATATGATTCATCAATTACGTTTTCCGCCGAAGAATACTTAGAATTGCTTTCAACATACAGTTGGGTCACAAAGACGAGCGACTTGGTCTGTAAATGACACACTCAATGGCCTTTCTACTGAACATGCTAGGATAGGGCTCGAGCCCGAGATATTCTCATCGCAAGACCATGAGGTAAAAAGTGTCTAATCAGCAAATATAGAATGATTGTTTTTACTATCCATGCATTTGAGAGGTTTCCGACTTGAAGTAAGGTGATACTTTATCCCATCAGCTATTGTAAAACCTTGAGATGCTCCCTTCATCTAATAATTGTCCTGATATGTTCGCTGATCTCGCACAACACTATTATAATTTCTTGATTTGCTATCTTTATTTATCTCCTCGGGATTGGGATTATTCTTTGGTTTTAGGGGAGGGGCTTCAAGGTTCACATCGGACAATAATGTCAAAGCAAGACTGTGAATATGCAATGATAAGTGAGCCAGCAAGACATCAAAGACAGTCAATATCAGATGAATGCCCCAGATATGACCTCAACACAAAGAGCGTGAAAGCAGTCAGAGCATGGTAGCTGCTGGACGACATCAGTTGCAACGTGTGCATACTCCATTCGCGAACAATTTCAGTTAAGTAGTGATTGCAATAAGATGTATCTTTTACTATCAATGGATATAATTACCTCGATGTTCTGATATGCAATTGAAAAATGGCAAGTCGAGCCGGGCGCTGCATTAAGGGATTGGGAAGGTCGAGCCGACTCAATATGCCAAGAGCGCCCGGGCTATAGTGGAACCATACTGATGCTGTTGAATATTATATAGGATGTCTGCTCGAAATATTTAATACAACCTACCTGATTTAATTCAAACACATAATTGGTTTCACCCTGGGTACTTTCCCCCTAGCCCAGCCATTATTAAGCATGACAGTATAGTTCAAGCAGATCTCGAAAACATGGATAAAGATACCATCTTCTTTAATGGCCGTATCCTCACCAAAGCTGGCTCCGGTCTGCATGCAGAGCCCACATTTGCAGACAGCATGTTGGTGAGGAACGGAACTATAGCTGCAGTCGGAAAATTTCAAGAGGTTTTCTCTGAATGTCCATCCGACGCGCAAAAGCGAGACCTCAAGCAGCAGACTGTGCTTCCAAGCTTTATCGATGGCCACATGCATCTCTTACTTCTTGGGCAATCACTTCGCAAACTCGACCTCCGACCCTGCAAGTCTCTAGAGGAAATCCGATCCACTATCAAGCAGTATGCGGTCGCCAACCCAGACATCCCGACTATTCTTTGCAAGAACTGGATGCATTCCATGACACCAAATGGTGTTACTGCCATGATGCTGGACGACATCGACCTAAGACCCATCTTCGTCGATGCAAGCTCGCAGCACTCATGCTGGATGAACACCGCCGCCCTGAAGGTGCTCGGTGCTGAAACTATGTCAGATCCCCCTGGTGGTAGAATACATCGCGATGGGGAGGGAAAACCTTCCGGTGTCATGGATGAAGGTGCTATGATGTCAGTTATCTGGCCATACCAAGCAGTGTCATCATCCAAGGAAGAGCGCATGCAGTCGATTCTCCAAGCAATTCATGAATATAATGCGGCAGGATATACCGGCGTTGTAGAGATGGCTATGGACGAAGAAGCGTGGGACAGCCTTGTTACTCTCCGCTCGACGCAACCAGATCTACCCATGCGTGTTGCCGCATACTGGCTCATCAAACCGACGGCAGACCCCGAATCCAACTCGAAGCAGGTACAGCGTGCGATTGAATTGAGTGGACAGTACAATTCCAGTACCAGTCCTGACCTTCGGATCGTCGGTATTAAGGTTATCTGCGATGGAATCATTGACGCTTGCACTGCTTTCTTGTCCGAGCCATATGCGCCCACTGGTTCACCTCCGCCCATTTGGGAAGCCGAGCACCTAGCCCCAGTTGTCAAGGAAGCAGACAGCGCGGGCCTTCAGATAGCCCTCCATGCTATCGGAGATGGAGCAATTAAAATGGCGATTGATGCAATTGAGAGGTATGCGAGTCCAGGGAGACGTCACCGCATCGAACATCTTGAACTTGCATCTCCGGAGGATGCAAAGAGGCTGGGAGAACTCGGTCTGACAGCGTCTATCCAGCCTGTACATGCTGATCCCTCTATTCTCACCGAGTGGCCCCATCTTATTGGAGAGGAGCGCTGCGAGAGGGCATTTGCATACCGCGAATTCGCGGATGCTGGGGCTCTGGTGGCGATTGGAACTGATAGTCCTACTTCGCCTTGGGCTCCGATGGACAATCTTTACGTGGCTACCACGCGAAAGTCGTCTAGAAACGTTGAATACACTAAGGTTGTGAATGAACATTTCCGTCTGGGGATGTGTGAATCTATTGTTGCTGCAAGTGGGGGTGCGGCACGAAGCGTTTTTGCGGAAGAGAGGATTGGTAGCTTGGATGTTAGGAAATTGGCGGACTTTATTGTTGTTGATATGGAATGGGATGCAAATGCCTTGTTGGAGGCCAAGATTAAAGAGACATGGTTTGGAGGAAGGAAGGTTTGGGGCTGATTAGCAGGATATATGGAGCAACTTATATATAGAGAAGGCGTATAGACATCACTGTTACCAACCCGTTTTTTAAAACAAAAGAGTGCATTCTTACTAAAATTCCAAGTACAGAGAAGGAAAGAGAAAAGAGAGAAAAGCATTGGTGGGTTGAGGGGTGAGCCCCATGACTCAATACGAAGCGGTTGAGCTTTATTTTTATGCCTAAAACTGGGTTATATATTTTGATATGACTGGGTTTTACGGAAGCCTAGCCTCGCAGTAGCCCTGAATGCCTCCAAGATCCTTAGCAGCCAACCCGTATGTGGTATAGAGGCTCGGGCTGCCGCTCCCCTCTCTTGTCTCCATTCAAGCACATGTCCTGATATTTGCCACGCACCTTGCTTCCCCCTTACCACACATTATAGTGTATCGTCATGTCATTTGGTTTTTCAATCGGAGACATTATTCTTTGCGCTCAGATAGCGCATCGCCTTTGTTCTTCACTCGCTGAAGAGCGCAAGAAAGCATCTCGCGACCTTAAAGAGCTTGAGGATGCACTCTTCGACCTTTGTTGTGCCTTGGATCTCCTACAAAAAGAACATGAGCCCATCATGGCCAAGGCCACTTCCAAGCCCAACATTGATGCTGCACAAATGAATCAACACTTGGGGTACATGATCATCTCCTGTCAGGAGACATTGGAAGAGCTTGATAATGCCACAGCCAAATACCGAGTGGCGGTCGACGATCCCCTCCCCACGCCCCACTGTCAATACGCCGTTGTACCGTTGGCTCGGCACTTCAGGGCCCAAGTCAAAACTCAATTACAGAGAATTATATGGGACTTGCGGAGCAACTCCTTCATAAAGTACCGGGAGAAGCTTCACTCCCATACGGATTCGATCAATCTTCTTTTGAATACCTTCATATGGTCAGTCCTACGTCTGTTTATCTAAACACAGATAGTTTTTAACTTTATAATTTAGGTCGGCTACCGACCGCATTGAGGTGAAGGGTAAATACCACACAAATATGCAAAATGAGCTCCTATACGAAACATCCCAGTTAAATAAGAGTATAAACCAGCTGGTGCAATCTCTCTAGGCTTCCATGACCACGGTAAGCACCACCATCACTCAATGCGACGCTCGGCCGACTAAGCATTGAACATTTATCCGGCATGGATCGGTGGTGTGCAAACTACCGGATTCGGATCTGTGAGAAAGTTATCAACGGCGTCCACTTTGCGCCCCAATGCCACATCATTGACATCTCGTCTCATGCCCTCTTCACGCAGCTTTTCCCGTCGTCTAAGGCCCGCTACAGGACAGACTTGGTATCATGCCACGAATAAAATGAAGTGCCGAGAAGCAAGTCTTGATTAGAGTTCGCGAATCATCTAGGAAGCCCTATACAGAGCAAGTTATAGTTATAACTTACCAGGCACTGAACTCCTATATCGCATGTTGACTTGATTATATTTCCACAGAAAATTCTAGCTGCCCTATAATGTAATACTGTCGAGGGAAATTAATGAGAATGCCTCGCATACTTGTATTGTTTATGTTTTGTCCTTGGGCGGCCCATCCGCTGCCTAATCACCTGTACGTGGGTAGGCCCAAAACCCGACCCATTTAGGGGTCGGGTTGGTCTTGGACTCTTTGGGCTCTGCGGAAGTCTAGTTAAGATTCCGCCACAGTTCGCTTGATTGTGACTTCTAGTACTTCCGCGTCTTGAGGCAAGTCAGCTCCATCGTCATTTTGGTCGAAATATAATCTCCAAAGCTCCTGGCCGTTCTCAACACCGAGCTCTTCAGGTATCTTCTCGTCGTCAACCCGGACAGCCAGCCAACCTTCCCAACCCTCTAGTGTGATTCGCTCTTCATCTTGTGTCCAATCGAAGGGGCCACAGATATTTCCTTCACTGTCCTGTTTCCCTCCCCACCGTAGCTCATGGGTGTGCAAATCAAGATAAACCCAACGGAGAGTTGGAGGCGTTTCGCCTGTGATGGTCACAAATCCGGATGTGTTATCAGGGGGAAACTTGGGGTGTTGGTAGAAGCAACCATTTAGTGGGACAAGACGTGAATTGGCAGATTTGGTGATGTATATCTATTTTGTGGTCAGAGATGGGTAGAGTCGATTTCATGATAGCGCATACGCAAGGGATACGCAAAAGAAATTATAAATCAATGGGTTGTATAGGAAGTGACTTGCCTTTTTATCCGCCCCCAAGTATACTTTCGCATTATGAATTGCCAATCTCTGCTGTTGGGACCCATTCAAAGGCATACATTGTACTGAAATATGACAGCGCTGTTGTCGCGCACTTTCCCGCCTGCGCTCTTCATGGTCTCGGGTGCCCTTGGAAGCCTCGTTTACCCCAATGATGGTTGGGACCATCGCTGTCATGAGAAAAATGCCAAATACCATCGTAGTTCAGTGAATTATAAATATACAGTGGCTCCATCAAACACGAACATCTGTTCTAACTCATAAGTTATTGCTGCCCTTTCTAATAAGTTTCTAGCAATGTAACCTGGCTGGTTCAATGCCAAGCGTAGTATGGGATTGGGCTCATGCCTTCACATACCTGTCGTAAGACGGGTTAGAGCCCTTAATTTATATGACGTAAAGAATAATTTATCGAGTTCAAATGTCGGTTCATATTGGCAATAATCCCATTTGCCTACATCATGGGTCGTCAAGAGGGGTGAAAGTTCTCATTTCCGCAAACGGCTACGTGTGGCAGTTAAAAAAACATGGATCCGTCTACACGTCATAGAAAATAAGACTGGTAGCTGTTATCATCTCTACGCTGCGGCATTTTAGTTCATATACTGAAAATGATGAGTCTCATTGACTCATTGCATTCATCATAATGAAAGAGATACAGGTACACCCCTACTGAGGTATATATGGCGTGAGCCTTCTGTCCAAAAATCACTACTCAGGTAAATCGTTAACAACACGAATCATTACTACAGCGCAGGCAGTGAGTTTTACCTTCAAATCTATTTTCAAGTTATAAAATTTTCACATCCAAATACCTAATAATTTTCTCGCAGCTCTTCCCCCGCAAAACCAAATTACGAGCGAAAGATGGGAGACCCCATCCCAACATTGAGGTATATCAAATCTCAGTTGATGTTCTATGCCGTCATATTCCTATTCTATATGCAACACGACCCATCTTTCCAAATCCCAGAGGCTAACCTGAGAGTCGAACGGTGCAGTGGCGCCCCCAACCTTGGTAAAGGAAAGCGGAAGGCCCGCGAGGGATCGGAAAGTTCATCTTCAACCGACCCAATTGAAAGTCTGGTGGAACCTGAGGCGCTGGCTAATGAAATTCCCCTCGTTGGACCCGGCGCCGCCCGTGAACTAGCCCAAAGGAAGAAGGATAGTGAAGGGAAGAAGGACGATGATAAGGGCAGCCTGAACATCAGGATCCATCTGGACTTGCATGCTAAGGTCAGGTTGGATTTAGAGGCTGATTTATATGGAGATATTGTGATTGGGTTGTTATGATGGAACATACCGTCACGGTTCGCGAAAATATATGCTTTCGTGGTGGCTGCTAATTCAAGTCGGTGGCGTGAGTAAATATGAAATAAGAACAGGATCAAAGCTTTATTTACGAACTGGAGATGCAGCCACCCATCCCATACACGGAGATGTATGAATTTTGTATGGGGTCAACCTTGGAAAATCGGCAGTCGGTCGTGTTTCCAAGCCATAGCCAAGAGATCGGAAGAGCTTGAATGCTCATAGATAAATAACCGCATAGCACACCCCGCTATGCGAGTAATGTCATCATATCCGTAACTCCGACCCGACGGAATCAGTGTTGAAAGACTATGCCCCGTCTGATAGACATTTGGCAGCTTCCCCCCAACATCATGAGGTTGAATTTGAAATTTGCTTGACTCGAGTTCATCAATAACCATATACACCATGTCTACCCACACCCGTAATGGATCATTCCGCGCCGAGTATGTTGGCTCATTTCTGCGACCCGACGACTTGCTTAGTATTCGACATGCTGGGATGACAAGAAGTCTACGACGCCGAACTGAAAGTAGTCGAGGATAAAGCCGTGAACCAATTTGTCGCGAGGAAGCAAGAGCTAGGCTTCAATGGTATCAACGATGGGGAATATCGTCGTCACATGTTCCTTTTGGTCCAACGTTCATGGTATGACAGAAGTGAGCATCAAACTCACCATTCCGGTACCCACTTGGTACCATCTCTGCTACGAGAACGGCCAAGCCTACCCGAAGGACGTATACAAAACACATAATGAATAGTTTGCCGATATCATCACGGTATTTCATATGGAATTGCAAGTCCTTTACGACTCATGCTGGCGAATCGTTTGAAGATCGACGACCCAAACATCTGTTGTAAGTTTGTTGCGTGTGTTATAATCGTGTTTGTACTGACCAACCTTGCAGACTTCTGCAATTCATAGATGGTCGAGGCGCTGTGACTGGGATTGCCTTTTAGTGATGTAGTCAACACCATGATAAGACAACGCGATCAACTGCAAGGCATCACTGCCGGGTGGCTAGTTTGATTTATGGCTAACTTTTGGGTCTGAGATGGGTGTTTTGATTTCGTGACTAAAACCAGCCTCAGGGGTTTGTGTGCCTTTTCAGGACTCTTAGCCAGTATTGTCGTATGGTAGTCCTTTTGGTGGGGACCTGCTAGGATTTGACTCCTTCACAGCGGTCTGTCCAGATCCGGCGATAAGCAACAAGTTCTGAGCCTCACACCCCCGCGCGCCCCACGGGCCCTGGCAGTACTCTCTAATTCGAGAAAAATACAGGAGATATCGCATTTCTTATTTCCCTGACTCCAGTTACTTCCTATTGAGACTTAGAATATGATCGCTCCTAGCGCTTTCTTCTCACTTGGAAAAGGGTAGATGCAAACGCCAAGAAAAAGGTTTCCTCGGTTCTCGTATTGTCCCCATGCCGCCAAGTCTTTCCCGTTTGGCTTCGGGCATCGGTCAACCTATCAGCTATGATATATTTACCTTTGGAAGGGGCTAAATAGGATCCTAGTTTTGTCTGTAATCTAAAAATTAATTTCATTTTTCTATATTAGCAATTCTGGAGGACGCTTTTTGCGTCGTCTATACTTCCCATAACAGTGAGTTTGGTCCAAGATATATTGTACATTAACTAACTCAGAGACTTTTCCGGGTTCGATAAATCAGGCATCCATTTCGTGGATGAGTGAACCGAAGCAAATTCTTCATGGTCGTGAATAGCATGCCTCCTTGCTGTTATTTCCCGCCCCAGACCTGGTTTATTTGTATAATGTGTACATTGTTGGGGTCCAAATCTCAGGTACAATGTCATGCGCACCCTCCAAGTGATGCATACGAGAAAAGTGTGGCTAGCTGAGTCGCAATCAGACCAGCATTAGTACAGAGTACACGGGTTAACCTAATCAAAAGAATTGGCGGGGATATCCGATTATCACTGCGAAGCGACAAGATCCACCAACGCTAGTTGGGCCGGGCCGTTCTAAGGTGGTCCAAACCCACAGCCCTGATTTTATCATTGGAAGAAAATCCATTTATATTATTTCTTTTCAATTTTTATGCATTGTGGCTATCCTGATTTGGGCTACACCACGGAGGACTCAACGGTGCTGACGCCCTCTGATAAAGCGTCAGGTACGGAGTAGGACCCTGTTCACTTGCCAAGTGAGTCGACCTAGTCTTGTTTATTTGTTCTTCAGCTGCGTAGACTAGGGTTCTTGGCGGGATAGCGGCATTTTAGCCGCTTTTTCTGCCCGTTGAGCATTTCAACAGATAGCGTGCCTGTGTTTGAAGAATACTGAACTCCACTCAAACAAAAGTCACATTTGAGGTTCGCTCTTCACTGGGGAAGCTTTGAGATCTCTAGAACCGATCATGTTGCTTCGCCTTCACTATCTAGTTTGGTACCTCCTGTTACATCTACAGGATGCTACAGCACTTCCACAGGGAATACCCCCATCCGAAGTCTCGAGCGTAACATCAGCTACACCCACAGAAAATTCCCTTGTAAGTAATGGAAGAAACTGTGACTTTGATACGATGGACGATTTCTTCCATCACGCCAACAAGAACGGTCTAAACATCACTGAGGAGGTCCAGAAGTGCCAGAATCTGTGCCTGCTCACATATGGCGTGGGAAACCCTGATCTTTCTGGGATCGGTGTAAGTTTGCAAACAGAAGTTTTCTTTGTATTCTCCATAACTGTCATAGCTAATAGATTGTGCCTTCTGCTACTCCAGATGATGTATGCGTATACCATCCAAACTGGACTTACCATCCTCATCGGTCCTGTTTATCGTATACTTTATCTCACCCTAGCGCCAATGAGCAGCTTCATCCGAGACTTAAAAGACGTTCAAACGAATTTCTTCTCCTCAAATGGCTTCTTCGTCGGTTCCTCCGCCATCGCTACCCTCGCAAACCTGTCACAGAACCCATCTACCTTTGAGATCGCCGAAATGCAGGCCATGGCTTTCCTGCAAGTCAACAGCATCCTCGTGACCTTCTTCTGTATGGTTGTCGCGCAGCCAATGTCGCGTTGGGCCGCGCGAGTGCTGCTATATTTTGCAGTGTTTGTTCTCGTGATCGTCGCCCTAGGCAAGAGCAACCTGGGCAGAGACAGCAAAGCAAACTGGAGACTTGCTTCTGATGGCTGCGCACACAGTTCAACAGACTACAGCGTCATCAACCCTGTCCCGTATCCATCATGGGCTGTCGCTATCTTCGCTGTCGCGGGAACAGTTGCCTTCTGGCTACAGTCTCTCAAGGAAAGATTCCAGGCAGACAAGTTACACAGATCGCTGTTTAGGTTATTGGTGCTATTTTGGGTCTTGTTGACTGGACTTTTGACTGCGGGCATGGTGGTCGGTCTGACGATGATGTGGCGACAACGAAAGCATCTGCGAAGCGTGGCGAGAGACCAATTTGAGGATGACGAGTGGGGATTCGGCCAGATTGCTGCGTTGACAATCTGGGCCCCGATACCGGTTGAATTACTTCATATTCTGAATGGTGAGGATATCTTCATACTTATTGGTGGTATTTGTTCAAGCTGACGCGTTCGCATTGTTATAGACTTCGTCCAACGGAAGTCTGAAAGGTGGAATCGCTTGAATCAGACTATTAGCGTGCATTTTTCTCCGAGAGCTTTGCGAGAAGAGCAAACTATCCCCAGTTCCAGCATTTCATTTCCTCCAAAAGCTTTGCAGGGAGATCTTCCCATGCAAACTTCCAACCCCCAACCCGAAATGAAGGAACAGGGTGGAATTTGAAGGTTTAATCGAAGTTGGAAAACAAACGGCGAAACGTTCTAGGGAATTTGTGAATTGTAATAGCACTCTATGTATATTCAATTTGTTATTCCGACAGAGCTATCTCGCTAGTTAGAAAAGCTGTACAGCTATCAATTCTCTTCGTACCAGTGTGTATACCTATCATCTTCATTTCCCGATTCCACTTTTCATCCTAATAGGTCCTCCATACGGCTTTTAAATATGCCCTATCAACCAGTCTCTTCTTGCTTATTTGTTTTACATTCTATGCTTAGTGATAGATTCAGAGGACAGTAAACCATTTCCTGTAGATCAGATATACGGATTAATCTCGGCCAGAACTGCAGAATTACAGATGTACAGATGGCACAGAACTATGTAATGCATTAGTACGTCAAGTGCACATCAGGATGACAGAACAAAACCACCAAAATCAGGGCTCCCACATGTAGTGATGTAGTGGCGCAGATTTTCCAAATATGGAAACCACCTGTGAGCATTTCTCAAGTCTTCCCAATAAGTCGAGTTTTAGGCAAAAGTCCGCTATTCGGTCCTGGTATACGAGATGCCAAATCAAACGATCACTAGTCTGGTGGAGATAACCATTTGGCTTGACTAACCTGTGTCTTAGTAGGTTTTACGTCCAGCAAAGATAGAAAATGAGAGTTGCCAAAATAGTTGAGATCTTTGTTACTATCATCCGCGCCTTGCTTTCCACAGCCTTTTTGGTTACCATTGTCCTTTTCTTACTTTGCCTTTCCGTTCTTTCCTTGATATTATCTATCTAGGCTAGAAGGTAAGGGCAAGGAAAATGTTTTTGACATTCAGTTACACAGTGACGAAAATGGGTAAGAGATGGATCATGGAGAGTTGGGAAAGTTCCATGCCGCAGCCGGCTTGTCGCCACAAAGGCGGCTACTTTGTAATATGCTGGGTTGGCACAGGGTTTGAATATTCAATGGGGACGGCGGTAGACACATTCTTGATCCAGCTCCCACCTGGGAGAAGCTTTGGAAATCAATCGCCGACACTTCTCGTCACTGATCGACATGGTGATGACGACCATGAACGAAATACTGTATCCTCCATGGAATGAAGTGTAACGAGTCATTCTCTAAGACTTCTGTCGCCATCTTGATTACCCGATCTACAAGAGTAACTAGGCTATCAGCAACCTGCCTTAGCACGTGGTTTACAATAATGCACTTACCGTTACCCTTAGCACCAGGCTTTTCAGTAAAAAGGGATTTATGTTGATTCAAATATAGCGGAATATTAGCCTCTCCCCTCGACGGGCACGCCACTTATTTGTTGCGTTCATCAATTCAGGACACCCTCGAACAACCCATTGCCATTTCTTTAGAAACGGCTCAGTCACCTCCCAGTTCTGCACGTTCCAAGGCTCTCCCCAAACTAGCAGCCCTGCATCCATCGTTGACTCCCCCCAGAAACCCATGATATCATGACAGAGCTGCTCGTCATCCCAGTCATCCCCAGCTTCGATGAGATTATCGCGCATCTTGGGGAAAGGAAAGAAATCCAGCCACGGATGATGGGGTATTGATTTCTGAATTCGAGTGGGCTGAAGACTGGTCGGAATGAGACTGTTATCATCCGCTGTAGAGGCCTTGTGTGGCAAGTCTGTATTGAACGGTGAAATTGCGTCGTTATCCATCCAGTACTCTGACCAACCGATTAATCGCAAGTTGTGGGCGAATGCTCGAAAAACATTGACCTTGGTCAATGTCATGAGATGATCGGCGGTCGGGTTCCCTCGTGCATAACTTTCATACGCTGACTTGGCGAATCTATCTAGAAGATTTTGTAAAACTTCGGGGCTGCGGCAGACGTTGGCTTTTGGGTTGTGTTGTGAAGAGTGGTTTTGCAATTGGGTAGAGGTTGAAGGAGGGGGTGGCACTAGGCTCTTAGGATGGACGTCTTTGGCTGATAACAGCCGCTTGCGCTTTCCTGGCAAAGGTTAGTATAAGAATAGACTGCAACAAATGAGACATACGGTAAGCCCTCTGGTTTACGCGGTTCTGTCGCCGACGGCGTTCGGTCGGGTCAGTCAATCCAGACCAGTTGTCCGTCACCTGCTCCACGTCATCGGAGATGGAGATTGAAGGGTCAATTTTCAAGGTTTCGGGCATCCTGGCCACCGGCACTAAGATGTCATTTGCTTAGGACAGTTTAGAAGATGGATCCCATGCCAAAGGGGAAAAAGAACAAAATTCTAAGTCTCCAATCGGATTTCTTGGCGGCCGGAGTTGATCACGGAGTTAAGATATGACGTTCTATATAGTCACAACAATAGAGATCCACACAGTACTTGGATGTACGAGTACAGATGGATGAGATGATGGAAAATATATCAATGTTCTCCGCGCTTAAAATGTTTCTAAAAATGAACGAGACCACCACAGGAATATCATTGTCTTATCTAAACTCTGCGTACGCAAAATCAGCTGGGGCCAGGCATCGCTGGCGCTCTCCAAATGCATACAACCCCAGCATCATGCCGGTAAAGTTGGCCCCGACCGGAGGAGCTGCTGTAGCGGCACTGTTCGAAACTGTACCAATCCAGTGGACGTCAGATTCTGCGTCTTCACGATACCCAAACCGATACTCGTCGCCACAGTCAACTGTAAGAATGACAGCAGTGTTTGGATCCAATCTATGGTCCACGATATCACCCTCCGATGGTCGAAAACGGATGAAACGGCCCTTGTTATCCTTTCTGATACCGATGCTGCTGTATGTGAAATAGTTTAACCAGACCACAGTGCCAGCCTCGGTTTCGTCTACCGTCGGGTGAAAGGAGAGCATTGTTTCCCAACGACAGAGGCGGTAGGTTTGCTTGCGAAGGAACATGGTTGGACTGGCGGGAACTGACAGGTTATAGGGTCCGCCATGGAGACGAAGATGATTGGGGTGTTCCGTAAGGGAGTAATCATTGACGAAGGGCGTGTCTATTTTCTGGTCAGGTGAACTCTGGCGATTTTGTTCTTCGGAACTCACTTTTTCGATACCAACCAACTTGCATTTCCGGCTCCGAAAATTCGTCTCTCCAAGATACCGGGGTATGAAATTGGTAAAGGCCAGGTCCATGGGAGTTGAGACTGATTTTCTGTCCTCCATTGATCACTGGCCAGTCGTCCTTCCATTCCAAAGGAACTAGAAATGTCTCTCGGCCTAGGAAGGTTAGTATAACCACTAGCCAATACTTCGGGACATTATACCTAGGACTGATTCCTCCCATGTATCTCCCCGTCTTAAAGGACGAACGCCGAGAACAACTGCCCACCATTGCCCTTTGGTGTCCTCAACTAGATCGGCATGCCCGGTGTTCTGCACTTCGTCCTCAACGCCATTGCGCCAGAGAGGGTTATTTGGCCCGAGCTCCCACGGTCCCAGTGGACTGACCTCACTGCGGTTCACCCACTCGCTATGGCCACTTTCAGTGCCGCCTTCTGCTGTGAACAAATACCAATAACGACCGCGTTTGAAAATATGTGAACCCTCGGCCACACCAGAGGAAGATTCCCGGACCAATTTAGGTGTCGACGTCGAATGTCCAGTGGCCAGATCAACAGTGCATATATGAATCGCAAAGTCTTTCAGCTTGGCACCCGCAGTTGGCTGAGTCTTTCTGTAGGTGGACGATAAATATACAGTTTCGTCATCATCCCAAAAAAGCTATAGTATTCAACTGTTATTGTCATTCTCCATATAAGTGGTGATGCCCTTGGTTAAAACCCACATCTTGGTCAAAACCAACTTGATCAAAATAGATTGGATCAGACCATGTCTTGTCATTCCATATATCGGTCGTTTTGACATAGAATCCCTGGGGCCAAACTCGATCATCCTGCTGAGGACGATAACGCTGGAAGCTCGCTGCCATGATGTAGTAAACCCCCGCGTGATAACGAATCGTGGTTGCCCATACTCCTCCTCCCGGTTCTGGGGTATGGATTTGAATCTGGCTGGGTCGTGTCAACGCATGGCCGATCAATTTCCACTGAATCAAATCCTGGCTGTGGTAGATGGGAACCCCAGGGAAGTATTCAAACGTGGAGGTGACCAAGAAAAAGTCTTTATCGACACGAACAATCGATGGGTCGGGGTTGAACCCTGGAATGATGGGATTAACGTAACTCATTATTACTAAAATAAGTTAACGGTGCCAGTTGGCTTATATGTCCATGAATATATTTTGATTGGTGGAAAATTATGTCTTGTAGAATCCAAAATGTGGCGCGAGTTCGTATTATATTTTACGGGGGAGGTCTTTCTGAGTGAAGTGTTGGTGGGAAAATGTAATATAAATACAATCCACGGGATGATTCAACAATTCAACGCTTTGTTCAGGGAGACGTGAAATCCAAATATGTGGAAGTTATTGAGGGGAATGGACTCGATAAAATCCGAAGTGATCATGGATGCTATACATTAATCGAAGATCTAAGAAAGCTCCGATCAAATGCCCTAGTAGACCTCCACAACAACCCAATGATAGAATTCATCAATCAAAACAGTCTATGACATCTTGGTAGATATGGCAAGCGTAAAAGCTGTGTGAGCCAAAAGAATTGGGAATGGCATTTGAAAACCCTTTCAGCAACAACTCACGTCAACCGAAGTTCTGCCGTAGCATTGTTGGGGGCTTCCCCTCAAACCCGCGATGCGGGTTGATCGCGCCAAGGACTTTCGCACTATTATACCTGTTTGCTCTTCCTACTTGTAAAACTTCTACATTAAATCACATATGGCAGCTACCTGTGTGAACCAAGAATCTTGCGATGTGCTTGCCCTTGAGGCTTTGCCTCCCCAGTCAAACACAGCTCCAACTTCGGATCCTCCTGGAGGCTTTTCATCGTTGGAGAAATGGAATCAGCCTCGCGGCAATATTTACCGGACCTTTGCGACATTCTGGTCATTCCTGGTCATGGGAGCAAATGATGCAGCTTATGGTGTAAATTGACATGTCCCATTTTTTCGAGATATACGCTGACTGTTCGCAGGCTCTAATTCCATATGTAAGATGAAAGCCCCTACCCTGGGAAACAATCTGTCTCAGACAGCATACAGCTAGAATCATACTACCACCTATCGTACACGATTGTGTCGCTCGTTTTCTTGTCGCCTCTGGTGGGCTATACGGTCGCCGCCTTTCTCAATCACCGCATCCACCATACACTAGGTCAACGTGGGGTGGCCATTATTGGACCAGCGTGCCATCTCATTGCCTATGTTATCAACTGCCTTCATCCGCCGTATCCGGTACTAGTGGTCGCGTTCGTTTTTGCAGGGTTGGGAAATGGCCTAGAGGATGCTGCATGGAATGCATGGATTGGTAACATGGCCAATGCAAATGAGGTGTTAGGAGTGTTGCATGGTATTTATGGAGCCGGTGCAGTTATAAGTCCGTTGGTCGCAACGTCGATAATTGCCAAGGGTGGTCTGCCGTGGTATTACTTTTATTATGTCATGGTGAGTGAAGGTTTCTCGCAGATATTGGACCCGGAGCTAATCAATCAGATCGGATGTGCGGCCCTCGAATTGGTGGTGTCGGGCACATGCTTCTGGAAATCGACTGCCGCCGATTTCCGCGCATCCAACGTACCATCAGCGGAGAACAACAAAGGTGGTTTGAGACATGCACTCTTCCAGCGCCCGGCTGCCCGGGTAACCTGGCTCTGCGCATTGTTCTTGCTAGGATACGTTGGAGTAGAGGTCGCGCTGGGAGGATGGATTGTTACTTTTATGATGCGAGTCCGACAAGGCAGTGCTTTTGCTAGCGGCATGACAGCCACTGGGTTCTGGTTGGGTATCACGGTGGGACGGGTAATTTTGGGATTTGTGACCCCCCGCGTCGGCGAGAAGGTCGCAATTTCGGTGAGTATCACGCTGCTTTGCGATAGAACGAGACTGAAGTCCACCAGGTGTACATTGTTTGCTCCATGGGATTTGCTTTGATTCTATGGCTTGTGCCCCAGTTCTATGCGTCGGCCGTGGCAGTGTCTCTGCAAGGCTTCTTCCTAGGCCCCCTTTTCCCCGGGACAGTTGTAATGGTTACCAAGCTTCTTCCTCGGCATCTCCATGTCACTTCAATAGGGTTTGTCGCTGCCTTTGGGGGCAGTGGAGCCGCTATTCTCCCCTTTGCGGTCGGTGTGCTTGCACAAGCCAAAGGGAGTGAAAGTGTTGCAGCCATTTATCATTGTTCTGTCCGGTGCCATTCTCGTTACGTGGCTGGGATTGCCGCGGGTGTCTAAAATCAGACACAATGAATAGAAAAAGAAAGAAAAAAGCTCACATGTTGACATGTGAAAGTGATTCGGGGAACTTTTTGTTATCAGATCCGATTCTTTATCTCGGACTTTTCGCCCATCCCGCATGCAATGTACTGCGTTTCACGTGGTTTTTCTTTACCGATTGAAAGAATCAAACGTATGATCTTATAATTTGCAAGTTGGCGTCAAGTGTCAAAGTCAAAATACCAAACCGAGGTCAGTTTCCGAAACACTTACAACGGGGTCCTCCGTACTCGGTGATCTCATTAATCGAAGACCCGATCGGCTTATGGTTTCGGGACCTGTTAAGCCGTAAAAGGAAAACCGAATTTATTTCCTCTCCGCTTCCCCATATCACACTGGAATGTGCGGGGTGACTTGAGAATTGATAATGTTCATAGTCAAAGGGATCTAAGTGGTCTAACAAGTGTAAAAGGACCAGGACTTGGGAGTTCCCCGGGCCCATTGCCCCGGCCCCGGTCCCGGGAGATCCTGCTTAGTCAGTCAATTTAAGCCGAGGCTGTTTCCCAATTGAGACCCTCGGCCCTTCCAGGGTTCCTCTGGGGTTCATAACCCCATCTTCCCCTTCTCCTCTCTTCCATTCCCCCACACCCAAACTTCCTTTTTTCCACAATGCCAACACCTCCTCCCGATTGGGTTAACGCCCTGAAGCCGTCAGGTCCGCAAGGATCTGAGCTCCTCCAGCAAGAGCGTGCTCAATCGAATGTCAATGTCGAAAAGTTATCTGAGTATCTGCACACAAAGGAAACCTTGGAGCGACGAGCATCCCTCCTAGCTCTTTTACAGCCAGAGAAAGTATTTGATAAATCTCAAAATCATACTTTGGGCCGTGTAGAGCGGCTCCAGCGGTCGCTGGGCAAGGCCAAGCGCCTCCAGCAGCTCGCGGAAGAGCACAAATGGTCCATGGAAGAGCTCCATGCAGCCAATGACTTGATCGGTGAACCTACCCCCTATGGTTTGCACGCCAGCATGTTCCTGGTAAGTGAATTGGACCCTTTCCAAGAATCCAGCTAACCACTTGGATCGTTATCTAGGTCACTCTCCGGGAACAAGGCACCCCTGAGCAGCACAAACTGTTCCTTGAACGCGCCGAAAAATACGAGATTATCGGTTGCTATGCGCAAACGGAATTGGGCCACGGATCTAACGTGCGGGGCTTGGAAACCACCGCAACCTGGAACTCCAACGATAAGACATTCACCATCAACTCCCCAACATTGACTGCCTCGAAGTGGTGGATTGGGTCTCTTGGTCGTACAGCCAATCATGCCGTGGTGATGGCCCAGCTGTTTATTGATGGCAAGAATTACGGTCCCCACCCATTCGTCGTGCAGATCCGTGACCTCGACACCCATCAGCCATTGGATAATGTATATGTGGGCGATATTGGCCCCAAATTTGGCTACAAGTAAGTCTCTTCTCGCTCTTGGGCTGGCACTGGGACTAATGGCTATTAGCACTATGGATAATGGTTTCCTGCTGTTCAACAACGTCAAGGTACCACATGTCAGCATGCTGGCCCGCTTCTGTCAGGTCAACAAGGAGACAAACTCGTACGCTAAGCCCGCTATGCCATCTCTTGTCTTTGGTACTATGACCTGGGTGCGAGCCAACATTGTTCTTGATGCCGGCGGTGTTCTAGCTCGCGGTGTCACTATTGCCACCCGGTACTGTGCGGTTCGGAGGCAGTTCCAAGATCGTGATGCGGATCCACACGCGGGTGAAACCCAAGTACTGAACTATAAGATGGTGCAAGTGCGCTTGCTGCCGCTGTTGGCATCTATGTACGCCCTGCATTTCACCGGTCGTGGTATGATGCGCCTCTATGAGGAGAATCAAAGCCGCATGAAGGCAGCCAGCTCGCCCGACCAGGAGTCGCGGGGCGCTGGACCGGAGCAGCTCCGCGCTGGTGCGAATCTCCTTGCGGATCTGCATGCGACCTCATGTGGTCTCAAGGCTCTGGCCAGTACGACTGCTGGTGAGGGTTTGGAGGTCTGCCGCCGCGCATGTGGTGGTCATGGATACAGCAGCTACAGCGGCATTGGGCCGTGCTACGCGGACTATCTGCCCACACTGACCTGGGAAGGTGATAACTATATGTTGACCCAACAGGTTGCGCGTTATGTATGTCCCAGTCCTTTCTTCCATTTTAATCACTCGAGACTGACCCTATCAACAGCTTCTTAAATCCGCCCGTGCTGTCCTGGCTGGCAAACCGGCTCGTAACGACACTAGCCAGATCCTCCAGACATACCTCGACCGACGCGACAAGGCAGCTTCATTCGATGTGCTCGATGAGGACAAGGACATTGTGGCTGCCTTTGCTTGGCGCACGGCCCACCTGACTTTCGAGGCTCTGAAGCATCGGGATGCTGAGCAGCGCTCCTGGAACAGCCTTTTGGTTGACTTCTGGCGCTTGTCTACGGCTCACTCTCAGTACATGATGGTGAAGAACTTCTACGAGGCGGTTTCCTCTCCCCAACTGTCAGCAGCCTTGGATCCAGAGACCAAGGGCCTCATGCACCAACTATTCCGGCTCTTCTCACTGCACACTCTGGAGCGCGAAGCGGCTGAGTTCTTCTCTTCTGGTGCCGTGACTGTTCGACAGATCACCTTGACTCGCACTACCGCAGTACTAAAACTGCTCGATGAGATCCGCCCGCATGCTGTCCGATTAGTCGATGCCTGGGCGATTCCGGACTGGCAGCTCGACAGCAGCCTAGGTCGCTATGACGGCAAGGTGTACGAGGATCTGTTCCGTCGGGCAAGCGAGGAGAATCCCGTGAACGACTTGGTGTTTGATCCTTACCCATGGAATTCGGCATTGCTCAAGAATGAACCGGCCAAGAGCAAGCTGTAAATTTGTGGTTTTGCGATATGCTGTGTTCTTCCGATGTATCTTTTTACGCCCTTTTGGTTTGAAGTATAGACCATAGAGAGATGAGCTATATACCTAGATCTCATAGAATGGCCAATTATGCTGTTCGACCCCTGTTTGTGATTCAATGTACATGATCCTTTTCGAAGCTTGTTTTTGTAATGCATCTAGATAGCACCGGAGTGGTAGTACTACCTGGTACGAGTACTTGCCATATTATTCCTGAGCTTTTACTTCCCGGCCAATAAGTTTTGATCCTGATGTGTCGCCTAAAATGTGACTGTTTCACTATCTTCACTCCCTATAAAGAATTTTTTTTAAAACTACATATGTCCGTAGTTGGCGAACCGGACTATCGGGGATACAAACGTACAAATGACCCACTTCATCGGTGACTTATCGCACTGTCTTGAAGCCTCGGCGAACTATATAGCTCAGTCAATACTAGTCTGGTGTAGCAGGATACTACTAGGCACCACCGAGACATCACCGAAGGATTAACATAATAGTATCAATTTTAAAGCAGTTGAATGCAAGATGCAAAAAATAAGAAGAACCACCCACCCCGGGGTTGTTGCATGTGGAGCATCAAAAAGGCAATATGTGCAGCTCGATATAATTTACCCGACCCTTCCTAGCGAAATCACAAAGGCTTTGAGCAAATATGACATTGAGAAACTGTTTTTTTAATATCGACTTGCTGCTTTTGGCGATCCACATTCTGTCTCTGCTCCCCCACCCCTCTTTTCTACCCGGATTTCTATTTGTTTTCCCAGACAGCCAGATCTAGCAGGCACTTATGGAGTATTCTTTCACAGAGATATCTTGTTTCGAAGCTCATCTCCCCAGAGGCAGATCGAGACCCCATCTCTATCCGTTGTGTGGCCCAACTCACTACTAATTGTCTGGGTGCATGACGTCGGTATGCCGATCCATTGCGAGAAACGGGCCGACCTCGCCTTTGGAGGGAGAGAATGTATAGTGATATTAGGCACAATACAAACTACCTTGGAATGATATCATCGAAATTATCCGTGCGGAAGATTCATCTGGAACCGACGATCACCGCGGATAAATAGGATCTCGGTTAATAAGGGGGGCATTAAACCCTCGACTGGGTCGAATAGGCCAATGACGCAGTGTCCACCCCCGACTTTGGTGCCCCGGGTTTCTCGCTCCGCAATTCATTCCCGTTGATCTTTCCTAGTTCAGGGGCCCCAGAATCGTACCATGCAACGTCGCGTAGCCGACCGAATCGTGCATTGACCTGTAGATCTGCTAGTACTTGACTTATAAAACGCCTTGCCGCAAGCCTAAACTATCGACTGACAACCTTCATGGACGAACCACAATCATGTATACTATAACGAACATCTACGGTATGTGCAGTCTGGATCTTACGTTCGTGTTCGCGGCGCTAACATTCTACAGTGCTTGCTGCCTTTGGTACCATTGGAGGCGCTCTTTTCGGCTTTGATGTGAGGTATGTACACTCGATATCACTTTCTTGAATATAATAGCATAGAGACTAATACAGGCTATAGCTCCATGAGCGCCTGGATTGGCGTTAATACATACACAGATTACTTCGGCTCGCCAGACTCCAACCTCCAAGGCGGAGTACGTGCCATCTGTCTCCAATTCTGCTTCACGTGCTGATATTTCGCCATAGATTACAGCATCGATGTCCGCCGGTTCCTTCGCGGGTTCAATTGCAGCCGGTTGGTTATCAGATATACTTGGTCGTCGCTATGCATTGATGATTGCCTCTCTTGTTTGGATCGTGGGTGCTATGGTTCAATGCAGTGCACAAAATGTGACACATTTGGTCGCCGGTCGTGTTGTCAGCGGACTTGCAGTTGGTGTGACCTCCTCACAAACATGCGTCTACTTATCAGAACTGGCGCCCGCTCGTATCCGTGGTCGTGTGGTGGGTATTCAACAATGGGCAATCGAATGGGGTATTTTGATCATGTACTTGATCGCATATGGCTGCGTGGTTGGCGTATCTGGAACGGCTGCTTTTCGGATTTGCTGGGGTGTGCAGGCCGTTCCGGGCCTCATCCTGTTTATCGCTTTGCTC